TATCAACTCTAATATCCATAGATAACAATTAATAATTAATAATTCAAAATTAATTCAAATTAATAATTAATTCAAATTAATAACAATTCAAAACACAACTCAGCAAAAGATTAGGCAACAGATAGTCACAAACTATATCAAAGGAGAAATGGAAATAACTAATACTAAATATATTAAGAGATGCTAAATTTTCGTAGTTAATAAGAGGGAATGATTGAAAGATATGATTGTATTTTTCCATTAGAAATGTCAAACATTAAAAGAATCATAGTGTCCAGCATACCAGGAAGGCAATTTAGTTCAAACATTTTGACTTAGACATTCTATTTCTAATGTACTAGCTTATAAAAATATTTGTGAAGGTGCAAAAAAATAGATTTGAAAGGACACTTTTTGTAGGACTATCTACAATAGTAACAAACTATTAACAACCTACAATCAATTATTATATGGAAAGAAATGAATAAATGGTACAGTACGTACTACTATGAAATATCCTATCCTGCTTTTACAATGACTTTCTATTGAGCAGGAAAAAGAAAGTTGTACAATAATAGGTATAGAATGATTTCATTTTGTAAAACACATCACATACACATTAACAGAAAAAAGCACTAGGAATATACAAAGCAAATAAATAATCATGGTTAATTCTGTCCACTGGGATTAGGAGGGGAATATTTTCTATTTTTACTTAATAAACTACTGCCTTTCTACTGTTCACAATAAGCATGTATTTTTTAACAATAAATAAAAGCTTACCATATAATATTTGGACTTTCTGTAGAAAAATTATATATATATATATATAAAATATACAGATATAGAAGGAAACAGAAAAAAGAAATTTGAAATCTCTTTAAACAGAGGTAATTATTAAAGCATGTCAATACTCTTCAGACATTGTGAGGCATTTCAAATATATGTTATATCTCATTCTATATAATTCTGGGTTGGCTTCTGAATACAATATTACATTTCCTTATATTAAAAACATTTTAAAATTAAACTGATCTTTTTAAATTTCAAAAATATTACATGTTCAAAATAGAAACGATAGAAAACGGAGTCAAAAGAGAATAGAAGTCACGTTTTCTTACTACGTACAAATAAAGTCCAGTACACAGAATTAAACTGTGCACACCATCTCACTCATTCATGCATGATCCTCTATTTTTATCCATTATTGGGTTTTTAAATTTAATTTCAATAATCAATAAATTATAAAATAATCAATAATGAGATTTTAATGAAATAGTGACATCCAAACACTCATGCAAATGACTCAAGCACTAGAATAACAATAGTGTAAAACCATTTATGTGATCTTCCCTATTCTGAACCTTCTTTCTCAACACCAATGGCCATTATCCTCAATTTTTTATTGATATTCATTTCCTTTTTATTAACTTAATTGTACCCATACATTTGTAGCCTAAATAATATAGCAATTAGTTTGACATGTTTGGGAATATAAAAAGGATATCTTATAATATGTGCTCCTTAGGGATTTTGTGTTTTAAGTTAGCCTTCTAGAAGTAAAGTTTAACTCCTATCATTATGTGTAGAACAAGTACATTCATTTCACTTCTATATAGTATTCCATTTTGTAAATATATTATAATTTATTCATTTTCTATTTCAAAGCTTTCTACTAACATTTTAGTGCATATGTTTTGGCTATTTTTCTGAGGCTATTTATATAGTTTCCTTTCTACAAAACATGATAATGCATTCTATGATGTGACCTATTCCTCTCACTCATGAGACCTTGTGATCATATTCCTTTATCAGTAAGTATTCTTCTATGATATAAATTTAAATGGTTGGAACATATACAACCACATTGTTATAATTTTTAACCACTCCCAATTATTGAACACTTGGATTGCTTGTAATGTTTTGCTATGATAAGCAGTGTGTGGTATTTGCCCTTCAGCTTAGTAATTCTGTTTTGCTATTGATGCTAAATAAATCTGAACAAATTTAAACACAATAATATATTAGGTCACCATGTAGGATGATGTGGTTTTTGTTCTTCACGACTTATACAATGTATGTATTCATCACAGCAAGTTTGTATAATATCAAATTTAAAGGAAAAAAAAAGACATGGAGTAAAGAAATTGTATGTTAAAATTATAACAGTTGTACAGTTACTGCCATGGAAAGTTACTCACAATTTACTGCTAAGTTAAAGACATAGATCAAATGGTAGAAGGATTCCATTTTGGAAAAGAAAATAGACATAACTAAGCAAGAGTCTAAAACAAACACCAAACTCTTTGCAGTGGTTATTTCTGAGCACTGAGATTATTTTAAAATTTCATTTTTTCACTTTGTTCTTTATATTTTGAAATATTTTAATGATAAAAAAGGATTGCTTGTATGATAAAAAGATCAATAATTAGTTTTTGCACAATTATTGCCCATTTTGCTTGAATAGAAAATACCGGTACACTGTAAAAAATTGGGTAAAAGTACTAAGAATATAAAGAAGAAAACAACAGCACATATAATCCTGCTCAGCCAGTGATAAGTAGTTAACAATCTCCAGTCTGTTTACTTCTAGTCATTTGTCCTTGGTTATGTATTTAAAAACAGTTGAAACCACATTTTATATCGTCATGTATGTGGACTTTCCACCTAACATTGTGTGATGACCATACCATAAATATTTTAATGGAATAAAATTACATTGTATGTGAATAGCACATTTACTTAATCATTCCTTTAAAGATAGACTCAGGTTTTTCTGTTATTTGCTACCAAATAAGTATATGAGGAACATTTTTTGTGTAAATTATCCACATTTTAAGTAGCTGTCTTGGATAGATTCCTTGAAGTGAAAATGCTGAGTTAAGAGTACAGTACGAACATTTTTATATTCCTTGATTAAGACAGACTAGAGCAATAGGAAAAATACAGTACAACACCTGGATCCCACACTCATTGTCATTATTCTAATTAGGTAAAACTGACAGAAAAACAATCTGCTGTATCTAAGTTACAAGTTTGTTTTTATAACCAAATGACAGACACAACCTTCAGAGTCACCATGAGTGTTACTTCCTCAAGAACGCTTTCCTTGACTTTCTAAACCCTCATGGGTTCTACTCATATTTTTCCTGAATGTTCTTACCACAATTAATGAATAATTGTTCAATTATTTGCACATTGTCTTTACACCCTCCAGTTGATTTTAAGCTCCATTATAACAAGCCTGGCACACAGTTGGCACTCAATAAATATTTGTTGAATGGATGGATGGAGAAATGAAGTGATGGCACTATGTAAGCTGTAATTCAGAAGGAATTACTATTCTAATTATTATTGTTTTGATTCCTTTTTATTATACTGTAGATGATTCTAGACCTTTAGAAATTCCTTCCCTAAGTATAACTTCATTGTGTGGCTTTAATGTTGTTCATCCCACTCACAGGCATGAGTACATTGCTGGAAGTGCCTGATGGAAGCTGAGACTTAGAGAACCAAGCAGTTAGTTCTCTAGATCAACATGCTAGGATTTAAGGATATGTAGTTACCATTAGTTGAATACAAGGCAGTGGTCAGGAACCCATGGAAGTCACTGATATGTGTAGAACCAGTTGGATCCTGGAGGTCAAAAACAAACTAACAATAAACCGTTTGGACAGTAAGGCTCGAATTGGGAACATCAGTGATAAAGGATTGAAGTGGGTGGGAAAGTTAAATTCCAAGCACCAGTACTCAAAGCATAAAGCTGTGAACGTGATTCTAAACCCAGGGGTGTGTGAAGTGAGTATTCCTTCATATTCTTCCTGTCAAACCTAAATGTGGTATCAGGAAGCAATAGCACCTACTTCCATATACATGAACAAAGAAGTGGCAATAGCTGCTTGAAAAATAAAAGCTTTGAATATGAATAGGTTCTAGTAGTGAGAGGATAAACAAGATCATTTGTATATATGATTTTATATTTAAAACACGATATAGGACCAATCAACTTTAGATCTCATAATTCTCAATAGCAGGAATTATATAATATAGTGATTAAGAACATGGACTCTGGAAACAGGTTAGCAGGGTTTAAATCCCAGCTCTATTATTTATTAGTTGTGTCATTTGGATACATTATTTCAACTCAGTGTGTCAGTTTCCTCATCTGCAAAATGGGGATAATGATAACACCTACTTTTTTTTGATAACACCTACTTTAATGGATGATTGTGAAGACTGAATGAGTTAATGTATGTAAGGATCTTAGAACAGTGCCTGGACACAGCAAATGCTATTTATTATTATTATTATTATCATTATTATTATTATTACACATAAGAACAAGTAAAAAGTGATGTTATTTAAACATCAAATATAAATACACTGTATGTGAATTTTACGTAAAATAATCGTCTCCAAATGTAAATTTTTCTCATAGAAATAAAATTTCACTTACACCTAAGCATAGTATACTTTAAAAACTATAAGCATTGAAAAGTTGTAAAATTTACTGCAACAACCTATTCATTCTATAAAGCATTTTACTGAGCATGATTTTAAAAAGTTGTAGAGAATAAACACAAATTTTCTAGTACCAAAAAACACAATTAAATTACAGTTGATCTGTAAAATCTGGCCTGTAAGAAGGAATGTCCTATCAAATTTTTGAAGCTAATTATACTAGAAGCAGGAATATGAGAGATGGCAACATCCCTGTGGAAAGATCTGAGCATGGGAAAGCTTGGACAGCAGAAGACTAGATTTGGAAAATCCTTCACCTGGGGAAAGGTTGTAAGACCTGGACTATAGAATAAATTTGAATACCTGGATATTGTAGACAGTGGAAGACCTGGATATGAGAAGGCCGGTACAGTGGAGACGTTGGAAGACGTGGATTTTGAGCCTGCTGATAGAAGGCTGAGTAGCTGTAGGAAGAGCTGAAGATGCTGGAAGATATGGAGGTGGCGGAAGACGAGCAGATGCTGGAAGCCCTGGAGATGCTGGAAGCCCTGGAGGTGTAGGAAGACATGGATTTGGTGGAAGGCATGGCTTCACTGGAAGACAGATTTTCTGGAAGACACGGCTTTGTTCGAAGACATGGATTTTCTGGAAGACGTAGCTTTGTTGGAAGACATAGGAAGGCTGGAAAATACAAAAATGACAGAAGGCATGGATTTGTTGGAAGACGTGGATTTTCTGGAAGACATGGATATTCCGGAAGCTATGGATCTGATGGAAGACATGGCTTTTTTGGAAGACGTGGATTTTCTGGGAGACCCGAATTCTCCGGAAGACCTGGATTGTTTTGGAAGACACTGATTTGCTGGAAGACTGGAAGGTTTACGGAAGACACGAATTTTCTGGAAGATGTAGATTTTTCTGGAAGACTCGAATCTTCAGGAAGACACATTGGCTGGAAGACCTGGAGATTTCTGGAAGACATGAGTTTTCTGGAAGACATGCCTTTATTGGAAGAGCTGGATTTAGTGGAAGATACAGATTTTGTCTGGAAGACACAGCTTCACTGGAAGACTTGAGTTGGTGGAAGACATAGGTTATCTGGAAGACCTGGATTTTTCTGGAAGCATGCATTAACTGGAAGACTTAGATTTGGTGGAAGACATAGATTTTTCTGGAAGACGTGGGCTGGCTGGAAGACCTGGATTTCTTTCTGGAAGACAGTGAACAACTAGAAGACATGGATTTTTCTAGAAGACTGGAATTAATTGGAAGACTTGGAGTTGGTGGAAGACACAGATTTTCCTGGAAGACACAGACTCACAGGAAGACCCTGAAATTGTTGGAAGACATGAATTTTTCTGGAAGACATGGATTTTCCTGGAAGGTCTGGATTTCCTAGTGGAAGACAGGATTTACTGGAAGACATGCAGGATCACGGAAGACATTAATTTTCCGGAAGACATAGATTTCCTGGCAGACGTGGATTTTCTGGAAGATCAGGATTGTCTGGAAGATCTTGAGGTTGTTGGAAGACTTTGAGTTGCTGGAAGATCTTGACACTGGCGCCATTGGAAACCCTGGACATTGGAAACATTGGAAGCACAGGATGTTGGAAGCATTGCAAGTCTTGTAATTTGGAAACATTGTTTACTCTGGACATTACAGATTTTGGATACTCTGAACACTGGGATACTGAGTGCATGAAGTGACAGACTCTAGAAGCCCTGGGTACTACAGGCATTGCAAATTCTTTACCTTGGAGCCCCTGAGAATTGGTGGATGTCAGAAATAGAGGACCCAGACATTTAGAACTCATAATAACAGAAGGCCCAGATATTGGGAGACACTGGAAAACCTGAATATTGATATATTCCTGTCAAAAGACATAAAATTTATAAGAAGTAAGTTTTAGTGATGCTGGGATTCAAGGAAACTGGCAAATATGGATATTATGAGATCTAGTTATTAAGATAGCTGAATGTTAAGAGACCTAGTCAATTCAGACACTGGGGATATTAGAACATGTGAATGTTGGTAGACCAAGTCCTTGGAGATATTGAAACACTTGAACTGATAATTTTAAAAATGACACTGTAAAATCAGGATGGAGGAGACTTTGAAAGATATTGGAAATGAATTTTATAGATATTATAAGATATTAGACAAATTATACTTTGACATTATAAAATACATAGACTCTAGAAGAACTGTGTATGAGAAATATTGAAGAATTGGAACAGTAGAAGATTTGAAAGTTAGAACTCTGAAACCTGAAAGACAAACCCTGGACCTTGAAGACTAATGGAGGTACTGGAAGTCCTAGACAGTGTCTCACAGTCTCAATCAACTAGCCTTCTGGGCATTTATGGGTTAACAAAGAATAAGCAGTATGTAGGCTAGAAGAAATATTTGGCTCTATATAAGGTTTAAGCAAATATTTTCTGTGAAAGATCACATAGTAAATATTTAACAGTCTGAAAGCTATATGGTGTCTGTTGCAACTGCTCACCTCTGCTATTTTTCTACAGCCATAGATAATTACTAGATGATTAGAGATGACTGCGTTGCAATAAAATCTTATTTAAAAAGTAGCAATTGGGTTGGGTTTGGCCTGTGGCCCTTCATTTAACAAGCCCTCATCTGGCTGCCAAATCTAGAGTATGGTAAACTTAAGTACATTCCAGGTTAGCATTCATATGCACGAGAACAGAGAGCACTTCGTGTGCTATGATGATAATGAGAGGATGAGGCTGGCAAGAATGTAAGAATGGAGTTTAGAACTTTGGGCATTTATTTCAGGTTCCCATATAAGAAACCTTATATTTGGAACCAAAACTCAGTAAGTTGCATTCAGAAGCTCAACTAAGATGGCTGAGAGTCTGTAAAGATAAAATAGGGTTAATGTAGCAGGCTGGAGGCTTAAGAAAAGAGTGGGAGAACACTCCTCCCCATTGGGCATATTTGGAGGGGAACAAGAAAGAGATTATAACTTGTTAGGATTACCTCAGGCATCTCGGTTTTAGGTAATACACAGAATTTCTGTTCTTACACACAAAAGCGTAAGTGGCAAGTGTAAGGGATCAAAGTTGACCTACAGGCTAAAGGTTCTCAGTATTTACATAAGGCTGAAGAACACAAGGGACCATCAAATACAGTACACAAAAGAGGACACAGGCAACAAAATTGGTAAGGTACACTGGGACTGGGCCATGATTTAAAGATCAAGCACTGGAATATATAGATGATGGGCAGTCATTGAAGGTTTCAGAAGAAGGCAATATCTGGATGAGAACTGTATACAGGGAAAGTTAGTCAAGCAGCTAAGCCTTGAAAATATATATATATTATATATATATATCATATACTAAAAGGTAACATACTTAAAGTGATACTAGTACGCGGTAGTGAGGGGTTGACTGAGGCAGTGACAGTTCTGTTGCTCAGCTGTCACAGCGCAAGAGTTATGATAAATACTCCGAATTCTAAACATTACTACTTTAAAATACTCAGATGCCATCACAAGTATGAGAAATACCAAGAATTTCAGATGCCAGTTATGAAGAACCATCCTTGTGAATGGTTTATTTTCTACATAATAGGAATGTACTCATGTTAAAAGTCATGACTTTTAATCACCAAATAAATGTCCTGTGATGCTAACCACATTATAAATATAGTATGAGTAATCACTGCACGTTAAGGAGTAATTTAATAACAAAGGAATTATTGCTTCAGGTATCCATCAACAACAAAGAAAAATATTAGAATTCATTTCTTATTCCTTTTCCTCTCTAAAAGCGATCATTTATAACTTGTTTAAGAGAAATTAAATATTAACATTTCATCAAGACAGGAATGAACTATCATCCTCTAGTTATATAATTCTTACCTGTGTTTTAATAATAATAATAGCAGCAATTTATTGAGCGCTTACTATGTGCCAGGCACTGTACTAAGCATCTCATATAATTTCTTAGGAACCCTATAATGCAGGTATTTTGACCCCATTTTACAGATTAGAAACTGAAGTATGCAGAAGCGAAGAGACATGTCCACAGTCACATGGCTGGTAATTGGCAGCAGCAGGATTTGAAAACAGGTCTCTCTGATTCCAAAGCATAGACTCCATGCTAATTCCTCACAACCTTATAACCCAAGGTTGATGCTGCCATGACTAAGCAGTAAGCACCAAAGAGGGAAAGTCTTCAACCCAGAGCAGACAGGAAGTCAATGTTAAAGACCTCACTCTAAGTCTCATGTCGCTCTCCTTGTGCCACTCATCGTCCCATTGTCAAATAGCCAAGAGTCAGCTTCGTGTTTCCAATGATGGGCTAATTAGAAAAGCCAAAAGGATGAAGTGCAATGTCTCCAATATACTACATTCAGATTCAATTTCTCAGTAGTTGTGATTCACGCTCATAAAACATATTATTTATTATTTTATATAGTTTTTGTTTGCTTGTATGGCTTGGCAAAATATGCACACCGTGCTTATAGCACACATTTATTTCTGAACTATTCAACAACCATAACATACTGACAGCAAAGACCATTAAAAGATAACAATACTATGTAAAGTTCAATGATAAATATATTTCCACAGTGCAAATATTATTCACATAAGCTTTCAGATGCCACACACGGTCAAAACCCTTTACTAACATAAGAAGTGGTGCTGGCAGCTACGTGAGCCAAATGTGCAATTTAAAAAGCTTTGTCTGCATTTTGAACTTAAAAAGATTTTAACCAAAAGTCTCCTTTTACAAGGAATGTCAGTTTTCTAATATATTCTCTGCATTTTAGCAGCCTGCGTTGCCCTTTCCCCTCACCTTCATTTTTCTATTTTGTTCCTTTTTGCCACAGTGGTTGAATATGTCTATAAGAAACTTTCCTTGTGCTTCTTAATATTAGCTCAAGGCCTTATTCAAATTATTAGACAAAAAAAGGTAGTCATCACTCAAACCTACTAAACGTTTTCCGTATTTTCCAAATGGGAGGGAGGGTATTCTACACATAAAGAGCAATAGCTATTTATACTGCGGTGTTGTCATCAAATTCTACTTTTACCATTTATCCTTCCAAACTTTCACATCCTCCTATGTGTTCTACCGACTTATTAAACTTAACCACATTAAACTGTCCTATCATTTACTTTATTAGTAATACTTCTTAGATTATTTTAACTAGATGTCTTAAACAAGAATTAGATTTCCAGTTTTTCTTTTAAATGACTTGGGCCCTAGAAAAATGTTTCCCCCTATCATGCCAAAGTATAGGTATTCTTTTTAAAAAGCTACAATCATTGATTTTGTACTTATTTTGTACTGAGTTCCTCGTTGATGCAATTTGATTTCCCTAATTCTGTTCAAATTAAAAGAAAAAACTATCCCAGGCAGTAATCTCAAAAATGTTCCAATTATCCAAAAAGTTCATACTCTGAAGGCATATGGAACCACTGATTATACTAATGAAAAAGATTGTTGACTTAAAAAATATTTACCTCTAGACTAGATTAAGCAGATTAACCATGGAATCATAAAATTTTATACATATAGACTTTTCCAGTTTTCTGGAAAATTGGAAACAATGGTATAAAATGTTAAAGTATTTTACACACAATACCTATTCATTATTTTTCCCAAACCCAGAGGGAAAAACACCATTATTACAGGAAGAAAAAAAACACGGCCTGGGAGTATTTTCTGTATTTCATTTCAGGAAGCTGATGCTATGTCTGCCTTTTCTTTTATAATTTCTAAGCCTAATTTTGTTTTCTGAGAGGAACTAAAATATGGTAAAACTTAAATTATAAGCCCAGTTTTTAAAATAACAGCATATAATGAAATACAATTACTATTTATCTGAGTCTCTATCAGCAGGTTTAGGTACTCCCAAAATTAACCAATGAAATTGATGCATCTTTCTCTCAAGGTAGCATCAAAAACAGGACCTTGAAGAACAAATGATCCTATTTTCTCATTTGACACATAATGAATGAGAGAAGTTACTTAATGAAACTATCCCTTGAACTTGTAGTAGAATGCCTCTGTTTAAGATTTTCTAGTTCATGAATTTACTGCCATTTGTCTAATATTATCTATCTTAATTCTATATAGTCTTACAGAAGTGGTTTACACCATGATTGTACAAATAATTGCTTGAGTGACTTGCCAAACATATAGACGCTGGTCCTATCAGTGGCTCACCAAGTGTGGAAGCAGGACCCAGTATTTTTCAAAACTCTCATCATGACCCTCATATATGGTCAGGGTTGAGAAAAACTGTGGCTTAGAGGAAAAGCACAAATTCCTCACCTGGCCCTCTGGTGTCACTAGATCCCCAGCAACCTACTGCAGGCTTTTAACTCCTACTTGCCTCTTTTGAACTTGGGGAAGGTATCTTTCTTCTTAATTAAAACCATTCAAATACTCTGGTTTCTCTTCAGATCATATAAATCTTTCACCATTTTAATTATAACCATTCAAGCAAGCCTTCTTTTCCTTTTTAATGTTTTTTCTTTTTTCCTCTTCACTTCTCATCCAGATATAGGTAGCCTATCTTTCAGACCTCCAGATTAAGGGCAAAATTACTGGCTTCACTCATTCCTAATTTCAACTCAAGCAGGTTTCTTCCACGCATCCTACAAGACCATATTCAGTGTATTTCCAGTGTTATTTCTGACATAATTGCTCAAAGGCAGCATTACTTCATGACCATACATAAATTTCATCATTCTCAGCTGTCATTCTGTTTTTTCAAGCTAAGTAATGTCTCTTTCTGGAAATTCATGCCAGACTTGTCATTCCTGCTTTTGATTTTCTCGTGCATCATTATGAGATGTAATTATGGTGTCAGTGCTATAATCATGGCCCGAGTAGCAGTTAAAACAGAAGAAACAACAATATTATTCAGACTTTATGTGTCTCTATTATCCAGAATAACTATCCATCTGAGTTTAAATTGAACATCATGTAAGAATGTATGGAACAGTCGAAGGAACTGGAGAGTTCATCATTTGTGTTTGCCAAGAATTCTTAGAGTAAGGTATCAGCTGCATAATTCTGGATTTGTGATGATTTGTCCACTCTGTGGAGTCTGCTTGGAAAATTACAAATATCTAAAACTAAAACTAAAATAATAACACTTGAAAAACAATCGAATCTGTAAAATAAATATACTGGATTGAGGAGGGAAGAAAATAACTCAATCTGGAAATGAATTCTCCACCACCATCAGAGAACAAGAAGTATCAGCAGTGAGGAGATATATGATCAGATGTATCAGTAGATATGGGGACAGTTCTGAGAACAGAGGGGATCTATAATTTTCATGGCAGCTCTTCCGTTTTGACAATGCACCAATGAAAATTCAGGAATTCATCATAAATGTACTGTCTTTCAGGACCGTTCAATAGGCAACTTATACATAGCTGTAAAACAAATTAACTTATACTAAACTAGTCCCTTCTAATAAAATGGTTAAGCTTCACCAGAATTAAAATAAACATTAGGGTCAAAAGTAAGAAATCAAATTGTCAAATTCCGTACAGTAGCCCTTTCCTTAGATTCTAGAGCTGAGTTCCTGAAACATCCATAGTTTGTACGTTGGACGAATTTGAGACCTTTTAGGGAAAAAAATGGGGCAGAGAAGGAAATATTGTGAAAGCCCAGACAACTGGGCTGCCCGCTGAAATAAAACATTAAAGTAAATCTCAACACTTTACAAATTTTGCATTAGCCGTAGTGATTATTGGGTAATTGCTTTCTAGTTCTCTCTGATCTCAAGGTTAGGATGATGATGTACAAATAAAAATGGCAGTTATGACAGCAGTGATAGGGGAAGAATAGAGAAAATCAGATTTTGTCTGAAAAGAAGTAAGCTCAGTCTTCTTGTCCACTTTCATACTCCAGCAAATGGATCACCACGCCATTACAGCCATCAGAGTCTGAATCCCAAGATTCAACTATGCTTGCAGCGTTGTTTGAACTATAGGTTTGGATGGCATGGCAGATAGTCCAGATCCTTCTCCCCTGTTAAATAAGCAGAGAGAGAAGACTTACTGACCTCTGTCTGAAGATTTCTTACTACTCTTTATAGAATTGTGGATAATCATTGAAGCCTTGCCCGAGATCAATATACATTCCATCAAAGATCTGTTTCCTCTGAATCATCACAATTTGATTTGCTTTGAGCTTTGGATGTTAACCTACTGTGGCCTCTTTTATCAACATTTTATGTGATCACATTTCTGAAATATTTCTCAGCTCTTTTAATAGGGTGAGAGTCTAACAGTTTGGCAATGTCACTTAATCTCATTAAACCCTCCCACAACTAAGTGTTTTGCAGATATTACAAAATTTTCAATTTCTTCCACTACTGGAAAGAGACCTTGAAAATCAGCTAACACCTTATTTCAAAGTTTCTGCCAGATTCCGTTCAGGGTTGACTGACTTATTTTCTCATGGATTCCTCACCTACTGTCAAATCATTACAAATGGAGAAATTTTGCCAAACTACTATCAGAGTACAGCGCATCATGAACATTTTGGGCTGTATCAGAGGCAGAGATTTGAGGAGTGAACTTCTACAGGGGGAATGGAGTTGACTAGAACACAAGGATCAGCATTTACTCTCATACTTTCATTAGTGGGAGCAGTGTGCAGATTCAGGAACACTTTCAAGATTTTTTTCTGTCAAAATATTCTTTAGCCTCAGGAGTAAAATTCTTCAAAATCCAGTTCTAAAAGAGTTTTTCAGTGGGTCAGATTTTATGGTTTCCATTCATTAGGCAGAAAGATGTTTCTGGCATTCAGAGGGTAAGGACCTTGGAATTTGTGAGCAACCTGTGATTACTAAGGAAGTCAGAAGCAGCAATGGAATGAAGCAGTCCTCTGAGCATGTCTTTTCCAGGGTTCAAATTCCTGGTCCTTTTGTCATCCTTTGCAATGGATGTGCAGGTTGGCATGCACTTCCAGAACACAGCATTCCATCAGCCCTGAAAACATGTTCAGGGAAAACATTTCTTTGATCGGTCTCTTCAGATATTCTCAGTATGATCTGCTTCCTCTGACAGCTATGGATGGTGTAACTTTTGTTCCAGACAGAAAGTTAAACTTGCATTTTTGTGATGCTCACTGGCGGATAATATATATGGAAAGTGGCCTATTCAATCTTCTTTGTTTTGGAAGCCATGAAAGTAAATGTATTTCTGTTGTCTCTGTATTTTAGCATTTCGAATTATGTATAATTTTCCTAGAGATTCTGATGTACCCGTCAGTGTATTGGCCCTAACTGATTTCTCATTTTTCTCTTTTGTACAAATTGGACTTTCATTAATGCCCCAAAAATGCCCTTGGGAGGTCTTGATTTTTCACCATTACCAAGCATTTCAAACCTCTCATTTTATTTGCTGTCAACATTACTTTTCTCAAACTCTTCACTCCTTTTTCTAGCATCTACCTTCTTTGTCTTTTGCTTGGAGCCAATTCTTACCCTAATTTATGCAAATTTACAGTTCAAGTTTCACATCATTATGCAGTTTACAATATTAATTTATAGTACTTAATAACCAAATGATAAATTCACAAGACAAATAAGAAGGGCTAGACAGTTTTGGTACAAGGACACATGCACATGATAAATGGCTGCAGTGGGGACAACAGGCATAAGGACAAAGGGGAAGCAAATAACTCAGATGCTGGCCTTGTTGCATGCCAGAGTCAGCAAGACAACACGATGGTGCCGTGAACTTGCATATCGTTCCCAATCTCTCAAAGGTGTAAAATGGCTAAGCTCAAATGCTGCAGGAGAATCACTTGCAGTTGTGAAGGGATCGGGGCTCAAGCTCAGGCTACCAGGCCAGGGTCAGAACCACAAATACCACCATCTAGAAGAAAGCAGACACAAAAGTAGGAAATGAAGTCAGAGCAGAAGTAGTATGAGTGAACACCTCAAGAGAGAAAAAGGATAGAAATCTGGAATTATTATATATGCCACATTGCTGCTATGAAGGTTTTACCAGTTTGTATGCTCACTAACAGGAAAGGAAAGTGATTTTCTCCCATGTGCTCACCAGCATGGAACATTACTGACCTTTGTGATTTGAGATATTTCATTTTTGGTTTAACTTTCATTTCTTTAATCATCTTTCCATTCTAGTTCTTCATCTTTCAATTTCTGTGCATTTGTTTTTTCCAGTCTACTGATTTGCAGTTACTGTTAGCATTTAATGGAGCTCTTATTATTTAAACATCTCTATATTACAACTATTTTCTCCAAGACTGTCGTTTATTTTCTAATGTTGTCTATTTTGTCTTTTGCCCTTAAGACGTCTCAGTTATCTATGCATTGAAGTGTTTCATATCTTGCTAAGAAAAGCCTTCTCCTGAGTAAGATAATAACAGCCTCTTCATTCATTTTCTTTTAGTGCTGTTACAGTTCTGTGGTAGTATTTCAAGGCATAGGGGAAAGGATGGACCACCTGAAAATGGGTGCTGGAATAATAACCAGTTGGCCATCTGCAACAGTCTAGAGTTCTCTCTCAGTGGAATTCTTTCTCTACCCTAGAGCCAGGGGAATTCTGATGGCATCAGAGCTTCAAGGTAGGCAAAGTAGTGGCTCAAATTGATCCTAATTGACCTTTGAGTTTCTCAGAGGATTATCATAGCTTGGGGAGAGATGTGTTTCCAAATGAATAATTAGTATACATTTTACCTGCTGAAATCCTGCTGTTTTGCTAATCCATACTCCTGACTCATACGCACTGAGTAACAGTATCAAGTTCTCAGATCTCTGATCTTACGATAAAGGCATCACTAATACTTAATAAATAGCCACAGATGGGGAAAACTGGAGAAATCTGAACATGGGGCTGGGGATTTAGCTCAGCGGCAAAAGCGCCTGCCTGGCAAGCGCAAGGTCGTGAGTTCGGTTCCCGGTACCGGAGAAAAACCAAAAAAAAAAAAAAAAAAAAAAAGAAATCTGAACATGAGTCAGCTGTTATACATCACTATGTAATTGCTGTCTACCCTTGGATATGAGATCGGCAAATAACCATATTTTGGTAGGAGAACTGAAGCAAATGCATATTGATGAGCAGTTTCTTTTATGAAAAGTTTTTAATTATTAAACGCACATGGTTTGTTGGTAGGTTGACAATGACTCACTATTTCTCTATATGCCTGAAAATTTTTGTTAAAAATATGTGTGTGTTTTATTTACTCTTTCTATGTTGTTGGTATTTTGCTATTTTTAAATTCTCTTTAAAATAAAAAATATGTGTATGGGTGGAATATATATATATATGTATATATATGGCTTCCCAGGTTAAATGCAAGATGAATGTTTACAACTAAAGAACTGATCATTGGAGGGAAATCACTTTAAACATTTTCCCCACATCAAGCAATGAGATGAGATACACAGGCATTCTGCAGCCTAAATCTCAGTGTCAATTTAAAGGTAAGAGCCTCAAGACTGCAGTTATACCTTAGTGGCAGAGCACTCACTTAGCATACACAAGGCCCTGGGTTCACTCCTCAGCACAATCAATCAATGAATAAATACATCAATAAATAGTAAAAAACTGAATTTTTGTGCCTTCTCTCTTTCTACTGATTGAAAAAAAAAAAAAAAAACACAGCAATTTCCCCAGAAACCAGATTATTTGACTATGAGGACAGTTTAACTTCTTAACACTAATAGTAATTGTTCTCCACCCTAAACAACAAATGGAGATTGTAGAAAAGGAAATGAGGAACACACCAGTAAGAGCATTACAGCTGATACTTCTGAGTAGGGAGAATGACTGCTATGTGTTAAACTAAATAACTGGGTAGAATTCTGTTCAACCAGTTCTCAAATGATGGACTATTCCTTTACTCAGAACACTTACTTTGAGTCAGAGTTCCATCCCGTGTTCTCTGACTTTACTAAGCGTCCGTCACTATTGGAAGAGCCCTACTGGGACTGCGTTAGTGTGAAGACTAAGGCCTCTGAAATAACTTTCTGTGTTCCTTTTTTGTTCCACAAGCAATAAAGAGACTTGAAATTGTTAGGACACTAATAAATAATGGTTTAATCAAGCGTACTTGCTCTCAAGGTACGTTTCTAAAGTACATTAATCTGTTAATCTACAGGGTGGAGAAGATAACGCCACTTTATCCTTCTGAGGCAGAGAACCCCTGGCGGCCTCTGGAAGAAGAAATAAAGCCCGACCAGCCAGCTCTTTAATCAGGAGCTGGAGCTCTACTGCTCAAGTGCTCAGAAGCACAGGAGGGTATCAGGATGTTTTTCTCTGAGGATTTCAACAGAAAAGAACAAGGACTACTTTTTAAAATGCCATAGACTGTGAGGATTTGTTTGGACAAACAGGACTGAATTAATTTTCACTTTTGTTATACAAGGACATTTGGTCGTAAGGGGTTGTTATACGAGTTCTCAGAACTCTCATTTTCCCCTTTCAAAACCCTTAAAACCCCACATGCACATGCAGTAAAGCAGTAGGCTTGAAAAGTACAGGCCCTCACAAGTCACTCAGCGTTTTCGAGTACAATACCCGGAAGTGGGAACTGCTGGTGAGCGTTCCATGAGGAACCTTTATTTTTGCCAAAATTCCTTAGGTGGCCCCAGTGCATTAACTAATGATAACAAAGACACCATTCAACTGACTTTTGAAAACTAGACCAACTTCTCTGACAGATGGATCCAATCTGCTGCTTTCTCCACTTTGAAACACTTCCTGAGTCCGCTCAGCTTACCGAAGTCCAACTTCTCCCCTAAAATGGTCCTGCCCACTTTTCTTTTACTTTACTTTTTTTTTTTAATGGTACCAGGGATTGAACTCAGGACCTTGCACTTGCCAGGCAGGCGCTTATGCCACTGAGCTATATCCCCGGCCCCTACTTTTCCAGACCCATCTTTCATTAACTCTTCCCTTTCTTTTCTGTAAACTATACAGTGGCCAGTGAAGGGGCAATTTCAATCACCCAGCTTTCTTTCAGAACTTCAGCACTTAGTTCAAGCACCGCCTCTTCCAGCAAGCTTTCTTGGCTCGCTGGCTGGCCCAGAGTACTGGTGGGTGCTCCCTGTCACTGCAGTATTTCTGACCTCTCACTGACTGTGTTGTCCTCGCATCCCTATGTCTTAACCATTTCCCAACACCTTGACAGGGTCTGAACAGAAAAGATCCGAGTTTGTAAGATATACATGCCTGTGTGAAGTACTGAAATGGGATCTTCAAAAATGGGTAGGATTTCCAGCATGAAGGGGAAGGGGCAGGCAAGTAGAAGGTGCGAGGTGAGGGCACAGGCAGAGGCCAGAAAGTCCTGGGCACGTATGAGGAGCAGGTGAGAGATGTGGTTGAAACAAAGGCTGGCAGAAGCGGAGTCCAAACAAACCTGGCAAAGTCAGATAAGGCCCATCACAGGGGCCTTCAGACAGCAGACGCGTTTGGTGCAATGGGGTTATGTTGAACGTCGTGATATTAATGAAAGGCTTTATTTTTGCAATGAATGAAAAAGGCTTTCTGAGTGAATCTCACTTACCCTTCCTTGTTACAATGTTTTGGCACAAATAACACATAGGAAATTCTGCTTTTTCATAGTGAGGAGGAAAATACTGACCTCATTAGATATTCTAGAAAGCACGCTGGATTATGGAATTAGTCCTTACAAATAGAAAACACAAGTCAAAGACTAAATCGTAGACACCTGAAGTGTGCAAAAGAGCCAGTCTAGAAAAATGCAAAGGCTGATAATGTAGATTAAGGAGTATTGCAGCCTTCAAGTCCCTATATGATCAGACTCTGTCGCTACCAATCCCCTCAGACTCCTGCACTTCTTGTTCGTTCTGCCTGATTTCACAGGGAAACCCATGGCGGTACAAGCAAAGGGTACTGGTCTTAGGCCTCCTTTTGAACTTGCCCGTGATGCCTCTGCCTCAGCAGGACCTTTGCACTTGTTCATCGCTCAGCCTGGAACTGATTTTCCTCCACATAGATTCGTGCATCCACGTGGTTTCAGTTCATCAGGGCCTTTGTTCGAAGGTCACCTCTTCAGGAAAGCCTTTCCTGATTGCTTCCCCTAAAATTACAACCCCTTTCTAACCCTTTACCCTACTTTGTTTTTCTTCATAGCAAGTATCAGGATAATTTTAGTTATTCTGTATTGTCTTTCTTCTATTTACAACACAAGCTACATGAAAGCAGGGACCTTGCATTCACCTTGCTCGCCACTGACTCCTCCATGCCTGGAGGACTGCCTGGGGCACAGTGGGTGTCACACACTGTGGGCATGCCATGTAGCGGTCATCAGAGGAAACGGCAAGGCATTGTGCTGGCGCACACCTGTAATCCCAGCGCTTTAGCAGCCTGACACATGAGGATTGCAAGTTCAGCACTATCAATCAATGAATAAATAAATCAATAAATAGTAAAAAACTGAATTTTTATGCCCAGGTTAAATGCAACTTAACCTGGGCAACTTAGCAAATTGCCCAGCCTGGGCAACTTAGCAAAATTCTGTCTCCAAACAGAAAAGGGCTGGAGATGTAGCTCAGTGAGAAGGCCTTGGGTTCAGTCCCTAGTAGCACCACACACACACCCACACACACACAAAAGTGTCCTTAACGTGGTGACGTGTAAGATGTCCCTTGGGCAGGGAACTCTGATTCTGCACTTGAGCCTTTTCCATGGTCCCCATATATAAGCAGGAACCAAAACCTACCCAGTCTCCCCACTGTCACACATTGCCTACTGCTCATTGTCATTGTCCAACTTCACATAAAATTCTCTGTCAACTCAAGAGCATTATAACAGTTTCCCAATAGATCTTGAGCTCCCAGGCTAGCCTCCTAGCCACCAACTTGTTATTCCCCCAATCAGTACCT